GGAAATTTCTAGACATAAACTTAGAATGCTAAGTAATGATTGTGAGGAGTGTCTCTAAAATATGTTTGGTAGTACACCTAAATTGACACAAGCACTAGTTTATTTTAGGAGTGATGCCTAAAATGCTTTTATGTGCTAAATGTTATATGTTGCCAAATATGATATTATTTGTTCGGATCTATGGTCTGTTGCCGACCGGATCTTGAAACCTTATGTGTGTAGGATTCTAAGCGTACGTCTACGATATTAGAACTAGCATGTAAACGTTTCGGAGTGATAAGGATGATTTGAATATCTATCGTGAATAAGGATCAAATTTCACCTTATTCGGTGTATAGATCAAAAATGACAAGAACCAGGAGTGGAGCTGGAAACATGAACGAAAATAGGAATCAACCACCTATGGTTAAGCGAGTGGCTGTTGTAGCAGAAACACCTGAACAAATTACAATGGCTGGAGTGCGAACCATGATTCAATCCATGATGGCTGAACAAAAGGAGGAAATGAGACAAATGTTGCTGAACAACAGGAGTGAACCCTCAATACCGGTTGAACAACCTGAGCTGAATGAGGGGAAGTCGGAAGAAGGGAACTATAGTGGGACCATTGGTCAAGCCAACCCACCAATAGTTTGCCGAAACAATCAGGATGGAGACATTGATGGACGTGGATGCAAGTACAAGGATTTCATGACATCCAAACCACCATGTCTATCTGGGAGCCTGACACCGGTGCAATTCATGGACTGGATCTCCAAGATGGAGACAATGTTTGAAAGTTGTGAGTGTAGCAACAGACAAAAGACCGCTCTTGCAATCCCTATGTTAAAATATGGAGTACTAAGCTAGTGGAAGTTACTGGCTGGTTCAATGCCCAAGGGGGAAGCTAGCATTTGGCACCAAGCATTTGGCGCTGTCGTAGTTGTCTGGCTTCGCAGCCAAGACATTACCCTTGGTTGGCTGGGTCAACCATCATATGAATCTCTCAGTCTTCTTGTTTTCCGGGGTAACCATACCCAGACAGAGGAGCGCTAAGTCATCAAATCTTGAAGTGTAAGCGGCAATTTTATCAGAACCCTTCATCTTCAGGTTCCAGAGTTTGTGTTCCAGCTTCTGCATTTCGCTCCGGGAGCAGTACTCTGCAAGAAGAATCTCCTGCATGATCTCCCAACCCATAGCATTCTCTACAGGTAGGGTTAAGGATTTGACTCGGCCATTCCACGAAGTCAAGGCTTTATCGGTGAACGTGCAGGTGGCGAACTTCACTTTGTCGGATTCTGAACAGGCACAGATTTCGAAGATAGATTCGATTTTCTCGAACCATTGAGTTAGGGCAATGACACCCTCAGTTCCATTGAAGGGCATGGGTTTCACGTTCATAAATTCCTTGTAGGAACACTCCTTCCGATGTCCCTGACTAACTTCTATGTTTTGAGGTTGAGTTCCACCTCATGGCCCGCCTGAACCACTGGAGTTCATTTGTGATATGGCGGCAGCCACAACAGCAATAACGACTGCTTGGAACATGGCGAGATCAAATGGACGGGGAGGTGGTGGTGGAGGAGGATTGTTGTTATTTGAGTTAGGTCTTTTCTTTGGAGGCATCTTGATCTAAAATAGCCAGGAAAGAGAGGATCATAAGTCCTCTGAATTGAATCAAGAGATATGGAACAAGAGATATCTCATTATGACAGGTATAATGATCTACTAAGCGATAAAACAGGAAGGCGTTATCAAAGCAGATAAACTATTGCTAAGGAAGGAAGGAGTAGTAACACTCGAAATGAATTTCCAAAACGTAAGCTGCTCTGTCTAAAATACTCATATAGTATTTTATGTTTCGTTGTGACGATGACTCATTTCTTGGATATTAGGTAAGTTTTAGGCATGATGCACACCACAGTCACTCCCAAGCACATGTTGGTCGTGTCTCGAATGAGTATAGTTGATCAGGCTATATTGACCCTAGACACGACTACATAACTGCCCAGGTTTAACCGTAGTGCACAACATCCAATTACTTCTGTTTTCTTCTACTCGAAGTTACGGTCTCTGATGTTTAGGTATTCTTTTATACTTTTGAAAAATACTTATATTTTAAACTATACTTTTAGTTCAGATCACTTCGGCCCTTTAGTGTTTATAGTCTTATACCATGTAAGGTTTGGTATACTTAGTTCACTACAAACAAGGGCTCTGATACCAATCTGTCACACCCCGAAACCAATGGCGGAAACAGTCCGGGGCGGAGGACGTCATGTACATTATCACAACCAATGTACATAGTAAGCACTAGTAAACACAACCATTACATTACATAGAAGTATTTACATTTGTTTGAAAGTAAAGTTATACATGATTATAGATATATACATAAAAAATGAACAAAAGTAAAGACGAGTATGCTAAAACGCTCCATCTTCTCCAAAAGATCGCGGGGTACCTGTCTAATGTGGACCTGAGAATACAAGCAGTTTTGAAAATATCAACATAAAGCTAGTGAGTTCATAAGCAGTTTGTTTTAGCAAAAGAACAAGTTTCCTTTGGTTTTCTGAAAAAGTTGTTATCCAAGAAAATCCTATATTTTCTTATACGAAGAGTTGAGTTATTTATTTGTTACACAATCTAATTAAGAACAGTTTCATGATCCCAGCAAAAACCCTTATTTTCCTTAAAAGTTTGTGGTTTGTTATCGATTCGAAATGAAGTATACAAGTATCTACCCTACTTGTAACGTTTAAGTGAATTATTCTGAAAACCTTATTATCTTTGAAAGTACATTAGTTTCAATACATAAACTATAGAAGAGAGAAAAACATTCATGAATAAAATTTGTTAATTTAATACGTATTGTGAGTCGTATAACCATACTAGTTAGACCTGTGACCTCCTTGACGTTCTTCAGGCGTCACTAGAATCCAAAATTTGTCACCCCAGGCGTGCCCGCCTAACTGTAGCTAGCAATTAAGGTGTGGGATTGTCAGTCCCGAATAGATCTATCCACAAATTTCACGCACTCCCTCCTGTAGACTCTGGTTATACTTCTGGAGAGGATTTACTGATATCCTGTAGGGAATAATGAAGACGAATCTCACAAGCTAGTATTACCAATTCACGGAAAAATAGATCGTTCTCGAGTTTTGAAATAGTTTGGTAAAATATAAATAATCAAATACGACATAATTATTCAACGATATACTATAGATTAAACATGGATAAACTAATTCAGTCATAGTTTTTGAATCCATTAAACCAGTAATGTCAATCCAAAATTATTACCTTAATAATTTAAATGATTAGATGAGTTATAAATCGGATGATTTGATGAGTTCCCATATTGTTTGAAAGCTATGTAATTACATTCTAAAAACTTCCCTTAGGCTCCGCATATTACAAAATGGATTTAGTATTTAAAGTTTGTCAGGAAATCATATAATTATATCAGTTTTAAGTTTGAAAAACCTTTATGATTTGCTTGTATTCCCCCCTGAAAAAAAAACATTGGAAAACACAGGAAAAAGGTGTAGGGGTATGAACTCACCGGACGAGAAATGTGTCGGCTAGGATGCTAAGTGTCATATCGGGGCTTAAATACACGTGAGGTTCCTATGTAATATGAAGAGGTACATAATTATATCTAATTATACTTTGAACTACTAATTTAATAAGAATATACACTCTGAGGTGTGAAAACACTTAATTTCAAGTGTTAGGAGTGATTCGGGTAGCATCTAAGGGTGTGTAAGGCCTAGATATGGAGTTTGCTCTTCAAGAGTAAACTCCTAATAGAGATTACGGCCCTAATACCATATCCCCATGAGTTTACAGCCGTAAACTCATGGGTGGTGGGTTCTTGGTTGCTTAATGTTCTTACAACACTTGTAGGATGATGCTAGGTTTTGTTGAAAGGCTACGGTAGGGGATTTGATCAACATATGGACCATTTAAGCAGTTTACGGTTGTAAACTAGGAGTTTACAGCCGTAAACTCTCAAGTACCCTTTCCTTATGTGTTTTGGTGGTCCTAGGTTAACCACAAGTGTTTCTAGTCCAAAGTACAAGCCATGGAAGGAAGTTAGGGAACCATTTGACCAACTTATAGGAGTTTACGGTCGACGAAACATTCCTTGGGGGGTTTACGTCCGTAATCTCCTAAGGGGATGGTTTCTTTCATGTTTAAGGTCCATAACACAATGGTGGATGACTCTAGACATTATTCCAAGGCTTAGGAGGTGTTTAAGGGGCATCTTAGCACCTTAAAAGGTGTTTGCGGCCCTTTAATGGGTGTTTACTGTCCAAGAATGTTGTTGGGCCGTAAAATCAAGTTTACCCCTCAAATGTTATGGGTTTGGTGAACAAAGTCCAATCTTGTAAGCCCCTAAGTCATATCTAAGCTCCAGAAGTGGTTTGGAAGGGTTTTGGGGCTCCAAAACCCCATTTATATGTTTTTGCGGCTTGGGGCTGTTCCTGGGCCATAAACACAAGTTCTTGGTCCTATTTCATGATTTAAACACAAATTTGAATGATAAACAAGCTCTACTATGAGCTAGGATGGATTACATACCAAATTGGAGCTTGAAAGGGTGATTTTGGAGAAAATATTGAGTTTGTAGAGAGAGAGTAGTGAGAGAGAGTGAAAAGGCTTCAAATGAGGTCCTTTCAACTTTAAATATGGTTTGAGTTTGAGACCAGATGGAATTATACCCGATACTGACGTTAAATTGGGCTTTTGGTCATACCCGATTAAGTTGTCGTAACCCGACGTGGTCGAAACTATAATTTTTCCAAATATAAATTTGGGATGTTTTCACGTGTTTCTAATGTGTTTGGACACTCACGAGATCATAATAAAAGTATTAATTTAAATGACCTAATCCAAAAGTCAACAGAAAAATCAGAAATACTAACAGTTTTATTAACGGGGACGGGTTACAGCGGCATAAAGTTTTCGGATTATCACAGATACGCAAACCCATTTTTTCTTCTTTAGCCCAACAACAAATGACGGACGAGGCTGCCGGTGAGCCATTGGAAACACCACATAGCCCAATACACCTAATGGTCTCACTAGAGACGACCAACACCTCAATAACACCACCACCTCAGACGACCGGCGTGGCTTCTGAGGCTCCACCATCTAATGGCTCGCTACCTTCCCTTGCAACAGTTGCACCTTATGTCACAACCCAGATACCAATACCCACACTGAATAGTGTAAACCCGCCGTTGTTACCCAACAACGACAAACCCAATCCACCCATTTCACCTCCTATAACGTTGATTTTTTCCAACATTAACGTATTAAACAACGTCGGTTATAGCTTCTTACAACCACCCATACACACCACAAACGAGCAACAACAAACGACGCTAATAACACCACCGTTAAATGGGATGCCCTCCCTTATGCACACAACACCGGTGAATAAGACCGCAAATGGCCCAAGCATCATTTTCCAAGCGCAAAACTACCCATCGTTAGTGACTGGATCCATGCCGGCCCGCCATTCACGCCCTACCAGCAAATCCCCATGACCCACACGTTTCCCACCCCATTCCAGCCACTGAACTTCTATGACCCAACACCACCAGACCTTGCGTCCTACAATGGTATTGCAACAACCAGGATACCACTTTGCTCATTAGACTCCAAACCAAGACCGCCTTCACGTAGGGTTACGTCACTGTTCGTGAAAGAGTTGCTAGAACATAAGATCCCCAACACCGCTAAACTACCTCACCTCAATACATACGAAGGCACAACAGACCCAGACAACCACATCGACACATATGAATGGACGATGACATCCTTCAAACTACACGAACGCTTCTAGTGCACGTATTTCCCTACCACTCTAGACGGCAATGCAGGGAAATGGTTCAAAATATTACGCCCTAGTAGCATCTACAACTTTAGCTAGCTGAAATACCTCTTTCTAACTATAGGATTTGGAATTTTGGCATTTGGAGTTCTAAATAATTTACTATGTTTTTTTTTAAAAACAATGCATGATATCTGTGACAGCATGGACCGACCTAAGAAGATTGCCAATTTTACCCCTCAAGGATTTGGATTTTAGAAATGTGATTCAAAGTTTGAAGAAACTAGAAACTAACATTTCTTGAAAACTAAGTTGCATGATTTTTAGATGCTCTTATTAACTTGCACAAATTTTAGAAGTTGGAGGACAGATTTGAGAAAGTTGATCATAATAGCCTTGAAATCACTTTTGGTGTTCTATTAAGGACTTAATGGTTAAGCCTTAAGTTTATCACTTTTTATATGATTGTTGGCTACTTATTAGGCTATTGAGATGTGAAATCTAATTTAACCTAAAGGCCTTAATGCTTGTCTTAATGAGGGTTCAAAGTTAAGGACTTTCACATAAAATGCCACTTGTACACTTATTAGGGTTAAGATGCCAACTTAACCCATTAAGCTCTTTAAGTCACATCTTGGAAGGAAAAAGGAGTCCTACACAGAGACAAATTAAACAAAGACATCAAAATATGTTTGGGGAAACTATGCAAGAATATAAAATCCAGTTGATAATCTCAACAACCAAACATTCAAGTTGTTGAATATGTTAGGGGAAATAAAGTCCAGCAAGAAAGCAAAGGCAAATTAAACGGAGACATCAAAATGATGTTATTTCAGCAAAAAAAAGTCAACAAGCACCCATAGACTGCAACGATAAATACACCACCTTGTTCTTGATTTATTTGTGGAGGTTTTTTCATTGAGATATGTCATCGAAACTTAGTGTTCATAAGAAATATATAAGCTGTCACAATGCCTATGAGATTAGATGAAACAAGATAGAAGTTAATTACCCCAAATGAAAGAGTAATGAAATAACAATAAAAACAAGAATCAATTACGAAATCTGAAAAATCACTGATATTAATTTCCGCAATATGAATAAATCAAACCAGTTCATTCTACTTTTATCCTTAGTTTGAACAAAATGAAACCATTTCATCAAGTAATAAACATACCTGGTTCAATCGATCTTTATGGTCTGATCTAGATGAAGCGATAGAAAACTCATGGTGAGTTAAGGGTTCTCGTGTGCTCTGAGGGAAAGCAACGAATTATGTTGTTTATTGAGACTTATGGCAGATATATTGAACGATGAGGTTCATGTCGTTGAGATGAAATCATAAACCTCGATAGTGGTCCGATGTGAAAATGAGACGATATAAACAACACAGGTAGAATGAGTGGGGGTTGAGTAGGTAGTTTACTATAAAACCTCTATATGTTTTTTAATCAATCAGTTTTGCATGTTTATTTTCAGTTATTCACAAAATTGCCACCTTGAAGATAGTTTTGTTCTCATTTGTTCTCAAAATAAAAATTGTTCTCATTTGAATATATATATATATATATATATATATATATATATATATATATATATATATATATATATATATAATAATAACAATAACAATAATATCAACAATGTTATAATGATTGATGTGGTTTGAAAACTTTGTACCACTAACATATAATGATTATTTAATTGATATGCTACTATGTTGAATGTCAAACAATTTTTGGATTAATATGATGTTTGTTTTTTTTTATAATACATATTTGATAGCCCAATAAGTGATACTACAAAGATTACAATAATACTCAACTTGAGATGCTATATACTCGATAAGATTCTCCATATATATTGTTAAATTTCTAGTTGGAAGTTACAAGTTACAATGCAATATAAAGCCCATGAATAAAATCTGATTAAGCCGGCAACTCGGCAAGCGATATAAAATTTTTTACATTTGGCCCAATAAATTAATAGTGAAGAGCCCATATCTCTTTTCTTTAGCAAATTCGAATATGGGGCATATTATTGTAACATTTAATTTAATTAATAAAATCAACGTGTTTTATTTTTTTAAAATGTATTATTTTGTATAAGGTTTAGTTTAAATATGTGATTTCCTCATTTGTAGTCATTTCTTGTAGTTGAAAATTTTGATTCGGAAACATAAATTATTTTTATTCTTATTATTTAATCATTTTATCAATAGCCGAATCTTGCTTGCAGCTATTTTGCACGTAGCCAATATTTTGTTTGGCCGGTCAATAATACAAGGGATTCGGTTAAACAAAGTTAGTCAATGAGTGTGAATTACATAGGTTTTGTAAAACTAAAAATGGTGCTATCGAAATATAAAAGTAGTATAGTTTCAATACTTGTAAGTTATAACAAATCATAAGATTTGAGACTCTAAGGGTGGACGGAATGGGCAATGTTTGTGGGCAGGTTGGCGGCGGTACCGCCTGTGGAACGGGGGTTGTCAGAAGTTATGGTACTACTTTGGGTGAGCATCGGTCCTGATCCTAATCAAAACCGACTGTGAACCGAAGAACCAATAACCAATTTAGTGGAAATAGAGAACCGAGAATCGAATCGAATACCATGTTTTGGTCCCCTGATTTCCTTTTTTTCAGTCATGTCAGGTTCCACTATGTCAAAGGCTTATCCCTAATATTGTTGGAGCAAAGACAAACGTCTTACATAGCTCATGGTTCTCTCTCTCTCTCTCTCTCTCTCTCTCTCTCTCACACACACACACACACATACACACACAAACACAAACTCCTTGATATCATCCCGCAACATATAATGATACCTCACATTCTTCATTTCCTCATCTGCTGCATACTGCGGTACCAATAAAGCCCTCTCCCAGAATTTGGCAGTGATCTTTGCCACAGTCTCAGTAGTCTGGCGAAGATTCAGAAACTCTCGCGCCAACTGTTGCACCTCAATTGTCGGAGCAGACTCAGCTCGGAACCTGGTCGAGAAATCATCCCATGACATGGCATCAACAACACCATCACTCAACTCACTACTAACCTCTTCGTACCAATCCCATGTATTGTCCTTCAATAGGCAGGAATCATATCTGACCTTCGCCTCCTCGGGGTAAAAACTTGTCCTGAATGTGTTATCCTTATCCGCTAACCACCTCCTACTGACAATGGGGTCCCTTTTCCATTGATCACAGAAGCTCCACAAGCATGGAACTCCCTGAAAAAAAAAGGTGCAAGCTTTAACGACGACCATAATCTTAGCACGGAACGTGCCCAAGCGCTCATCCAAAATCTCTGAAATACTGCGATAAGCCTATGATAAGATGAACTCCTACATTTGCTCGCTAATCGACTCAGCACCTGCATCTGAGTCGGAACCCGAACCCAAACCAGAACCTGAACCCCCTCCCTAAGTGCTCATCTCCAAACTAAAATACAACATGGCAAATATCAAAACATGCCCAAGAATCCTCTTCCCAAAAGCTTCTTAGATTCTCCAAGACCCTCGCCGATTCGAGTGTAGATCCTGTGCTTTTAGTAGTACGGGACCAATACTACTGATGTGTGTAAAACGCACTATTTTTAATCCTATTACTTCAAACACAAATTAAACACACGAAAGGCAGTGAACCTATCGATTAATAGTATAGTTTAAGCAAGTAGGGTATCAAACAAAGGGAACGGTAACAATCAAATTAAGTACTAGTATTACCTATTTAAAAACAATTAATAAAAGAGGGGGGGTTTCTCTATTTTTGCAAGAGTAGAAACTTAATCAATCAATTAAGTTTCAAACAAAGACAATCAACAGCTAAGAAGAACAAGAAAGGACAACTAGATTCAATGATAAAAGAGACTTCTGTTCAGATTTGATTCACTTATTCCTATGGTTGATTTCGTGGCAAGTGCAATGGATCCATATGTCAATGATTACCGATTCCTAATGTGATTGGTTTCATGTTCATTATTACCAATCCTTTAGTAGACAAGTTAATTCAAATAATGGCCAGTTGATTAAACTAACAAGTTTCCTAGTGTGTAGTTCATATCAAGTAAGACTTGTAATAATATCTAAACAAATTTGTTCAATTCAATCAACTCATATGTGGTTGTTCATCACACATGCTCACACATTGATTTACATATTTTCTAGTTAACCCTAGTTTCATATTCATTATTCCTAAGCATACAATCTTGTATTCATAAATCTATATGAATCAAGTAATCAAGAAGATGTTCATGCAACTTAATAAATCACTTATTTGCCTTTTATTCTCTTCTAAATTGCCTCTTATGTTGAATTCTCGAAATCTAGGACTCCAAGAACCCTTCTTGCCTCCAAAAATCGTACAAAGCCTCCAACATTAGTTAGGGTTCGAATGAGAAGTGTTTCTATATATAAATTATGAAAATAGGGCCAAATCGACGAGTTTTGACCACCAACTTGTCAAGTTTTTTCAATAATCGGCGTATACATCGTGTACGACAAGGCATCTTCCAATCGGGAACATTCTGATCAACTTGTCGATTTTAGGCTCAATGCGTCGAGGTTTTTCGGAATCAACATTTTGTCAAAACATAAAAGTCTTCCGTAATTGTGTCTAGTTTTCAGAATATTTTGAATCTCGTCAATCGGAGTTACGGTTCATGAGATATGGCCAAAAAACTGACAAGGGGTCAAGCTGTCCAACAACATCCTTCT